CACACACACACACACACACACACACACACACACACTCAGGCGCGCGCACGCGCGCGCGTGCGTGCACGCACACACTTACACATAACATACCTTTCACCGTCCATTGTGTGAGGCCCAGCCTGGGTGGCAGCCGCTGAGCTGTGCATGCACTGGAGGATCCTAGCCCTGTTCTCGGTTCTCCCAGCCAACCAGCGGGAGATCTGATCAGCAACAGTGATTCAGCATGGCTGCAAATGAAGCCTCCTCCCCTCTTGATCCTGCTTCCTCTGACTTACTCGCGGCAGCTTCGACCGCAGAAGCAGCAGCAGCAGAAAATGTCTTACCCAGAGCTCCCTGCAGCCCTTTCAGCTGCTAAAAGCAGCAACCCACTTGCTCCCCCTCCCCCACAGGCTTGCTGCTCCTCCGTCTCCTAGGAACAGCGCAGCGCCAGCAACCCAAGTACAGTGCCACCTTTCCAGCCGCTTCCACATCTGCCCAGGCATCCCCAGCCCAGGCGACTAGCCCACCCCAGTGCCTCCTGCCTCCTCTGCCTAGACTGAAAAGACTAAGGCAGTTCCTCACTAGCCCAAGAAATACGGGCCCCCACCTCCTCCCCTGCCCCCATAGACTACGAATCCGTCAGCCTGGTCAGATTGCTGGAATGAGGAGGCCCCTCTGTGGCTTACAGTGGACTTTATCCACCTGGGGAAATTGACTTGTAGGTCACAGCTCATTTTCCAATTCCTCCTCCCAAAATCTACAGCAGCTCTGAGAGTCTGATACATGGAGAAAAGTTAGGGCAAAAGAGCCTGATAAAACTGAGAAGAACGCAGAGAGAAATTAGAAAAAGGGAACTGAAACAAATACTATTTTACTACAAGAGGCTAAAATGCAGTAAAACCACCACAATGGTACCACGTACATTTATTTCCCCAGGCCATACCAAAAGACCACAAGTTCTATAGCACAACCCTAAAATACCTTCTTAAAGTCTGTCGTGTTGAAATTTGACTTAAGCTGTAGCTCCAACCAGTAAGTCTCCCACTGAATCCCTATCTGCAGCCAAAGATCTCTCGCACCGTGTAATCTCTAGTTGCTGAGCCTCAATTTTGACCCACCTAATGCAAACACATAATCCTGGGGCACGCTGGAGGCCAGTCTGTACCTCATAGCTACAGTCAAGGGACATAGAGGAAATGGGGGCAATCAGCCACTGGTGTTTGGTTAGCCACAAAAATGGGTTAAGAAGCTTCCTTGATGCCTCAGAAAAATCGTACATGAGCATCTATATTCTGGGAATTCTCTGGGTCACATCTGTGCTTTTCAGGACCCGTACTACCACTAGCTGGTTGAGTAAGTCTTTTCTCCACTCTGGACCTCAGCCCCTCATCCATAACATAGGGTCAGACTCTAGAGTCCCTTTTGGCTCTAAAATCACATGATGCTAAAAATGTCTTAAATGTTCCATTTTTCTCCTCATTGATCTGTAAGATTGTTTAAGAAGAAATTTTTACTGGACTCCAATGTTTTGAGAGGGCTTCAGGGAGGATAACGTGATGTATGTGAAAGTATGTGGGATGCTTAGTAAACCTATTATAGTTATAATTTTGACCTGATAAATGTCTTCACTGCCAGAAAGCCCTGAAACCACAGGGAGGGAGGCTGGACACTGAGGTAACAGAAACTAAGAGTAACTTAAACTTTATACAGCCTCCTGAACTCAAAGTGGCTAATGTGTTACTCTTAAAAATAACCCCCCCGCCCTTGACACCTCAATGTCCTCTTAGATGAGGCCATTAGGCCACTACCCAAACTCATTCTTTCTCAAGTGAGAAGAGCCTCGGGTGATTTTATTTACAACCTACAGCCCTGTATCACAACTTCTTCCTTTCACAACAACACCCCTCCTATCTTTCTCCCTCTGCCCCTTCCTCTTCTAATCAGTCTTGTGGCGCTGCTCCAGATATTTCCTCTTGAGGTGAATCACAGGGACCAGAAGCTGAACATCACAAATAAGGAAACTGAATCCCAGAATCCGTGCCAGAGTGCAGACATCCACCAGGAAGACGAGTGGGTGATTCATAAAAGGAACACGAGAATGAGTCTCTCACAACTTCATACCCTCTTTCACAACTTCACCATATAGGAAAGGACGGGGGGAGACTCCCCTGGTGTCCAGTGGTAAAGAATCCGCCTTCCAATGCAGGGGATGCGGGTTCAATCCCTAGTCAGGGAACTAAGATCCCACATGCTGCAGGGCAACTAAGCCCACATGTCACAACTACTGAGCTCGCGTGCCTCAACGAGACAGCCCACGTGCCCTGGAGCCTGCGCGCCACAACTAGAGAGAGAAAACCCTCACACCACAACTAGAGAGAAGCCTGTGCACCACAACTAGAGAGACACCCAAGCAGACCATGGGCTATAAGGAAAAAAGATCCCACATGCCTCAATAAAGATCCCATGTGCGGCAACTAAGACCCGACGCAGCCAAAAAAAAAAAACAAAAAAAAGGAAAATAAATAAATTAAATAAATATTTTTAAAAATAAATAAATAAATAATCCTGTTTATTTAAAAAAAAAAGGGAGGGGGAGAACTGTCACATCTAACAAGCCAGAGAGAAAATTTTTAAAGATCAGAAAATACTGAAGAGCTGAGCATATTCAGGTTTCAACATACAACTATTGAGAGCCAGTATAAAATTTTTACACAATTTCCTTTGCATCCTACTTTTGCCAAGCTAACCAACGTCACTACAACGTATGTGTTGAAACCATAGTGCTACCACCTGCTCACTTTATTGCCCATTCTATCCATGAGAGGTAAGCTGAACAGAGACTACCTAGAGAAGGACATTGGGAAAAGAAAGGCAAAACCAGGGTCAGAGCTGAACCAAGAATCAAAGTCTCCAGACTCCTGGCGCAAAGTTGCCACCCAAATCTTCTCTACTATCAGAGCTACACTTTACACCTTCTACATTATTATCCAAGTGTTCTCTGGGCCACAGCCTGAGCCTGCTTGCTCTAGGCTAACTTTCCTACCTGGACTTCAGATTAAGGAGAGTCACTATTGGATTCTTGCAGTAGAGGAAAGTCAGAGGAACCAAAGTAATCTCTACCTGGAGGAAGAGGTCCCATCCTTGGAATTCCCAGCTGTAGTGTCTCACCTCCTTGCTAGCCCTCCTCCCCATACCCAAAGCTTCTCCCACAGCTTACCAATAGTACCCACCTCTCCATCCCAGAGCAATTTACCCAGCCATGTACACCAACTTTGTTCAGCATCCTCCAGCTCTATGTGGCTGAGGAAGAAGCCATGTGAGGAGAAAAAACTTTTAAGTGCATTTGGTCTAGAGAGTTCTCTTCTGCACACCTCATCTCTCCACAAGGAGCCTGTACAGCACAGCTTATCTGGAGGTAGCAGGGCCCATCATTCTTCCTTCTAAGTGTCTTTTTCTTCTTTTCTTGCTTTTATCCTGCTTCTCCAGAACCTCAGTTCCTCACATGTGCAGGCACCATAACACGTACAGTAGCCCCACACCTGCATCAGAACCATCTGCCCAGTGGGTTAAAATTAGGCATCAGAGGATCAAAAGATGCAAGGAAACTGTTCAGGGTTATGGAAGTGTTCCATATCTTTACTGTGATGATACTTACACAATTGTATACAACTACTACATTTTATCAAACTAGACACTTAAGTGGGTGAATTTTATTTTACACAAATTATACCTCAATAAATCTGGGAGAAAGAAAATACTACAGTACCAGGCTCTACCACACACATACAGAATTGGGGCCCAAGGAGCAGGAATTTTAGTGAATTTCATAGGTGACTCTAATGCACAGCTAAATGGAAAGACCACAAAGAAAAGAGCTCAGACCAATAGAATCAGACAGACCAGGGTCTGAATATACTTACCAGAAACATGACCCTTAGCAATGTACTTTACAAGTCTCAATTTCCTCATCTGTAAAAAGATGATAATAATAGTACCTACCTCGCAGTGTTGTTAGGTTTCAAGACTGTAAAGCACTTAGCAGAGAGCCTGGCCTGTAATAGGCACTGAGTAACCATTAGCAGCTATTATTTGCATTGCCTATGCCAATGCAAATAATGAGGTCAAGAAGAAAGTCAACCAGGGTAACTTGTGCCAGGAAGCCCAGACCTGGGCCTCTCCTGGAGTCATTCAGTGGTCACTATTACCAACAGGTCACCAAGAACCAGGCAAGACCAAAGCTAAATCAAGATCCACCCACACCTGTATCACCAAAACTTTCCCTCAGATTCTGGACCACTTGATGAGAGTAGACCACCCCTGTAGCTGCTTAGCATGCCCCCAGCACAGGAAGCCAGGCAGAAAATGAAAAGGAATTTGAGGTCCAAAAAAGTCAAAAGGTAAAGAGAACAGCATATTATCCAGAGAGATGCCTGGCTTCCCTCAGGACTCCTCCTGTGAAGTAGAAGAACCCATGCCCTGAACATATTCAAGACAATAATTACCCGTGGCATCTGTGTTGCACTTTAAAGCTCACAAAGTTCTTCATGTCCCTCATCTCCTTGGACTTAAGATAACATCCCCTGAATAGTAATAACAGCTCCCATCCCTTAACCTTTTACTCTGGGCCAGACTCTGTACTCAAGACTTTACATATACCCCTCTCATTTAATCCTCACAACAACCCTGTGAGAAGGGACTATTATCCCTGTTTTAAATGCGAGGTGTACAGAAATGAAGCAGATTTTTGTATATCGACTTTTTATCCTGCAACTTCACCAAATTTTATTAGTTGTGACAATTTTTTGATAGAGTCTTTAGGGTTTTCTATATATAATATCATGTCATCTGCAAATAATGATAGTTTTAATTTTTCCTTTCCAACTTGGATGCTTTTTACTTTTTCTTGCCTAATTGCTTTGGCTAGGACTTCCAATACTATGTTGAATAAAAGTGGTGAGAGTGGGCATCCTTGTCTCGTTCCTAATCTTAGAGGAAAAACTTCCAGCTTTTCACCTTTGAATATGAAAATATATGGCCTTTATTATATTGAAGTACATTCTCTCTATACCCACTCTGTTAAAAGTTATTATCAAAAATGGATGCTGAATTTTGTCAAATGCTTTTTCTGCTTCTATTGAAAAGACCATATGATTTTTGTCCTTCGTGTTGTTAATGTGCTGTTCCAAAATGAGTGATTTGAAGATGTTGAACCATCCTTGCAATCCTGGAATAAATCTCACTTGATTATGCTGCATGATCCTGTAAATATAGTGCTGCATTCAATGTGTTATTATTTTGTTGAGAATTTT